TAAAAATACATAAAAAGTGTTTATTTTTTGGGAAGAGTGGGGGGGGGGCGTAAAGAAAAATTCTTATCCCAAGTGTTGAATGTTTATATATTTTAAAAAAATGGCCCGGCATGGTCATGTGGTTAGGGCGCTCGACTCACAATCTGAGGGTCGCGGGGTCGAATCCCCGTCACACCAAACATGCTCGCCTTTTCAGTCGTGGGGTCGTTATAATGTGACGGGCAATCCCACTATTCGTTGGTAAAAAAAAGTAGCCCAAGAGTTGGCGGTGGGTGATGATGACTAGCTGTCTTACACTACTAAATTAGGGACGGCTAGCGCAGATAGCCTTCGTGTAGCTTCGCGCGAAATTCAACACAAACATATATTTTAAAACGTTAACGTTTTATTATCTATAACACACGTAGCAAAATATATATATATATTTGTTTAAAAATCGAGCCAAGTATAAATAACAACTAAAAAATTCTTACGATTTGAACGAGTTCAAGGATCGATGCTCGCATATAAACTGTTTTTTTTTGGGGGGGGGGGAACATTTGAATACAATATCGAGTACGATTCTAATACATAACTTCAAAAAATCGCGAATGTTCCATGTATGTATTTTACGACACGTTTTTTTTTTTGGATAAATTAGGTCATAACATTATTGGACGCCATTTTGAGACTCTCGCCTTGAATGAATAACTAGGACATCCATTATTCCGATTCGTTCAAGCATTCGAAGAAACATGTTAGGTCATCTCACAGTCAATCTCTATAAAACAACCTATTTTTACTGGAAGCGCGTGCAAATACGTGTTATGTAGACTAAAGTGTGATTGGTTGAAAACTTTCTTGTTCGGGAGATCGATAATTGGATATTCTCTTTTGTGTGTGTGTGTTTTTATTGTTTTGTTTTGTTTGTAATTAAGCACAAACCTAAACAATGGGCTATTTGTGCTCTGCCCACCACGGGTATCGAAACCCGGATTCTAGCGTTGGAAGTCCGCAGACGTACCGCTGTGCCACTGGAGGGGGGGGGCGTGTTTATTGTTAACCAAAAACTACACAATGTGTTTGCTATCCGTGCTGTGCACACCAGGAGTATCGAAACCCAGTTTTTAGCGTTTTAAGCCTTCAGACTTTCCGCTGAATCACTGGGGGGGGGGGCTTATAATGTTTAACTAAAATTCTTATATTCTTATCGTAACATAATATGAATCGTAACATAATACAATCTAACTTTTTATAAATGTTTCAAGCATTTTATTGTGAAAACAAAGCTAAAAAATATATATACTGTTAATATACCGGTCAACAAAAACTGGTACAACAGACTATTTCAATTGCACGTACTGGTATATATGATCAAACTGAACATGATGAAGGACTCAGTACAGAAGCCGAAACGTCATCTCCTTTTCATTCAACAGGCATTTGTAGTTCGTTAAATTTCATAACCCTACTATGTCTATTCTTCCTACGTAGTCCGTTAAATTTCATAACCCTACTATGTCTATTCTGCCTATGTAGTCCGTTAAATTTCATAACCCTACTATGTCTATTCTGCCTATGTAGTCCGTAAATTTCATAGCCCTACTATGTCTATTCTGCCTATGTAGTCCGTTAAATTTCATAACCCTACTACGTCTATTCTGCCTATGTAGTCCGTTAAATTTCATAACCCTACTATGTCTATTCTGCCTACGTAGTCCGTTAAATTTCATAACCCTACTATGTCTATTCTGCCTACGTAGTCCGTTAAATTTCATAACCCTACTACGTCTATTCTGCCTACGTAGTCCGTTAAATTTCATAACCCTACTATGTCTATTTATGGTACAAAAATATAATGGATGTACACTTGATGGAAAACTTCGGGAGACTATAGTTTAAAGAAAATCCGTTATATTAATGAGGCTGGTTAGAGAAGAAATGTACAGTTTTCTCAAACACAAACACTACTATCTGTCTATATCTTTTGTTGTTCCATCTCCCCTACCGAACCCCGAGTTCGTGTACATATCTCCTAAAAAAGTAGATTCGTGTGGTTCTTGGTCTTCTATCTAATACTAAGGCTATGATTGACAAAACATCACGCAAAAGCTTCATTTGACTCTCGAATCTTCGAGATACAGAAGGAGTAGTGGGCTAGACTGACCAAAAATTAAATTCTTTATCCTTTATTCTAAGGATCTAGATTATACCTGTGGCGTCGTGGAGAGTTGCTAAACGTTCTCTTCATTCCTGACAAGAACAAAGATAGTGTGTTTCGACTATGAACGTGTGAATCAGCCACGTTAATTCGGCTATATATATATAGGCTTAATACGTTATAAATGACTGTTAAATTTTCGCGCACAGAAACGGTGGGTTTTGGTTTCTTTTACTTGTGGTAATTATTTTATGTTTTATTTTTCAGGTGATTATAATAACTTCGTTCCTGACACAGCGTCCAGTGGGGTTTTCTTTGGAGCACAATCGCCAGCCTATCTAGGCTACAGGCCACCGGAACGGGAACTGGATTTATCCAGCCGGACGTCTGTCATCAAACCGACTCACCTGCTGACCGCTGGCCACCATCCCCAACCGCTGTCGCCGAATGACACGTATGAGAGGCCAGGTGGGTTAGACCTCCATGCACTGCAGGAAAGCAAAAGTTGCAAACTCTACGATAAGGGAGTAACGGTGAGTTACACTTACGACGCCTTTTTCGTCAGCGACGGCCGATCTCGCCGTAGAAACTCCCTAGGACTCGCCGAGAGGGAAAGACCTCGCTACACCTGCTCCGAGTGTGGAAAACACTACGCCACGTCGTCCAACCTGTCCCGTCACAAGCAGACACACCGCAGCCCAGATTCTCATCTTGCCAAGAAGTGTCCAACCTGTGGTAAGATCTACGTCAGCATGCCGGCCCTGGCCATGCACGTGCTAACACACAACCTCAGTCACAAGTGCTCGGTGTGCGGAAAAGCCTTCTCTCGACCTTGGTTACTGCAGGGCCACCTCCGATCTCACACCGGAGAAAAGCCGTTCGGCTGTGCCCACTGCGGCAAGGCCTTCGCTGACCGGTCCAACTTACGGGCTCACATGCAGACGCACTCCAGTTTCAAACACTTCCGCTGCCAGCGGTGCAACAAGACCTTTGCTCTCAAGTCCTACCTGAACAAACACTACGAGTCCTCCTGCGTGAAAGACTCTCCACCCGGATCTCCCGAATCTCTGGCTTGAAATCAGAGTCCCCCCCACTCCAGATGGAGAATTTGTGATGTAGGAAAATCCTCTTGAAAGACTTGTCAGATAAATCAATATTACTTCCTAAACCAGGACAATAACAGTAAAGTAATGAATATCTTCTAGAGATACTCATCAAGTGGAAGACAATAAGCGGCTAGAACAAGTGACTCGTTCTAAAACAGCCCTTTGGCAATGATCTCCACGAGACTTGCATTACAAAATGAGCATCCAGTCCGCCCGTGGAGTAGAAGAAAACAGAAAATCGCGTTCACTTCACCGTTCGAAATGATGTGATGTAAGGTAGCAATACAAGCTGGAGTCTGTATGAAATCGTATAGGTTCCACTCCATCGCCGTGTCAAGCGATTTGAGAGTCTATTCTTTTCCATGTTTTATATATTTCCCCGATTACATTCGGTGAATAATGGGTATAGTATGAGAAAAAAACAAACAAAAAACAGACAGAGCTCTGATTGGTTTAACTGTTATATGAATATACACATATTCAAAGGACAAGAAAAAACTGTTCAGGTGGAGACACTGGCCGTGACGTTTTGAAAGCAACAGTGCATATATAAAACCCTATTTTACTACAAAACACGTATAGCTTTTTAGATACATGGATTTCATGATAAGTTATACTCTTCTGGTGCTGAAAAAACCACGTGCAACTTCCACGTGGGAGATGACGTCATATTCTCCTTTTCTCTGTTTTCATTAGTGTTAATGTTGTAAATAGAGGACACGTGCGCGTGATTGATATTCACGCTCATGTGACACGAGAGAACGGTGTTGTGCACGAATGGAAAATTAATCTGTTCTAATTACAAATCAAATGTATTCACAAAAACTAGAGAAAATCATGAAAATTGATACGTTGATGGTATGTAATCCGTTCTTAATATCTGGGGCTTGTGTTGAAATGTAATATTTCTTTCTTGCTGTTCTGATGTACATAACTAACAGAGAGACACTAAGTAACACGATGACACTAAGGAACCACAGATACACTAAGTAACACGATGACACTAAGGAAATACAGATACACTAAGTAACACGATGACACTAATGAAACACAGATACACTAAGTAACACGATGACACTAATGAAACACAGATACACTAAGTAACACGATGACACTAATGAAACACAGATACACTAAGTAACACGATGACACTAATGAAACACAGATACACTAAGTAACACGATGACACTAATGAAACACAGATACACTAAGTACCACGATGACACTAAGGAACCACAGTAACACTAAGTAACACGATGACACTAATGAAACACAGATACACTAAGTAACACGATGACAATGAGGAACCACAGTAACACGATGACAATGAAGAACCACAGTAACACTAAGTAAAAACAGTGACACTAATGAAACACAGATACACTAGGTAACACGATGACACTAATGAAACACAGATACACTAGGTAACACGATGACACTAATGAAACACAGATACACTAGGTAACACGATGACACTAATGAAACACAGATACACTAATGAAATATGATGACACTGAGGAACCACAGTAACACTAAGTAACACGATGACAATGAGGAACCACATTAACACTAAGTAAAAACAGTGACACTAATGAAACACAGATACACTAAGTAACACGATGACACTAAGGAACCACAGTAACACTAAGTAACACGATGACACTAAGGAACCACAGTAACACTAAGTAACACGATGACAATGAGGAACCACATTAACACTAAGTAAAAACAGTGACACTAATGAAACACAGATACACTAAGTAACACGATGACACTAACACTAATACATATTTCAGTTGTATCTTTCATATTCAGAGTTGAAATAAGAGATGACGTCACCCCGACGATAATTTTACATGTTGCCGAAATTCTGAATTCGATGTGTTATAATAAAGTAAAAATGTACAGTGAACAGGCAGGGGTAACATACAATCTTTTACTTGTCTCTGAAGCCATTACAGATGTTAATGAAACTTTGGATTAGTGAGCGTTATTGTCATTCCGCAGATATCAAAACTGAAACCCAATTAGATTTTATAAGTACAAGAATTGTATTGATATGTCTAACCCACGTTGTCTTAAAAGGACTTTTAGATAAATAATTTATGTTTAACTGTATTGTACATATATAATATTCTCTTTTGCTATGCAGCGTAGGTAGAAATTAGGGTTTCGTAGCCCATTTAGACTACATTATATTAGACTAGAAACCGAGGACGCGATTGACGCCATGAAGTCCGCGTCCATATTCATAAAGCAATAAACGTGTACAGAAGCAATAATTGAGTAGACGTAGGGATTTGTGTCGTTCTTTGAGTATGGATGCCATAGAAACTATACTCTCTCACCAGAGAGAAAGTAAAAGTTGTAAGATACAGCACCATCTTTAGTCTCTCTCTATTTCCCTTTTATTATTATTTTAATTCACGAGTTTATTTTCCTGAATTTAAGATCAAACATTTCGAAACTACGAAACTGTTTCCTTTATCCTTGAAATTAGATCAACAATTAAGAGGAAAATTTAAATTGAAAGTTTTAAAACCAAACAGGTTTCGAAAACAACGACTCTTAGATTTTTGTCAACCAACATTTGTAAGGATAAACTAGAAGCTGATATTTCTATCTATCTCTCTCTATATATATATGTATATTTGTCTATACCTATCTGTTTCTATCTATCTGTAAAGCCGTGTTTAGATTAGACTAACGGCATTAAACAGTGGAACAACAGCGCTATGTTCACGTAGACATTACTTGCAATATTTAACAGGATATAGTCCATTTCAAACTAGTTATACGGACTACTTCTCTGGAAATATTAATTCGCCGAAAAGAAAAACAATTAAAAAAACCCATTTGGAATGATGCAACTTATCAAACCACATTAAAGAGGACATTGTAGGAAGCGAGGATATAAAATAAATTAAAACCTTTCTCCCTCACAATCTGAGTAAGATCCGTCCACAAATTCTACCAGTTTTTAATCTACTGTGACTAAGCCTAATATAACCATTCCGACAGAGTACTTTCTCCATAGTGTCAACTCGTGCCGTATCTTACAGATTTTTACATAGTATTGGCAATATTAGACTGTAAATACATAGCTATAGGAATAGATTTTTAAAATTCCCTTGTATCAATATCCTCTATGCTTCTTAGGCCTAGGCATGCAGATAGTATACATATGTACAGATACTAACAGGTTTAGGTGTGAAACTCCATATTATTTTTATACTTTGGCGCGGTATTTGCGCAATCTTTATATTGAAACTTCTAAAGTTATAAAGTATAGTTAGCCTAATATCTTGACTTGGAACTTTAGCAAATATATATAAATATATATAAAATGTTACTTCAAAGCCAGTAGAACATAAATATATATATATACCTCGAGGCAAGTACTCCATTTCTCCTTGTATAGCCTGTAACCTCGACAACTTTAAAGTTCAAGATGTCGGGCGTATACGCATGCGCGTTGCAATAATTTATCGTTTTTCCGACAGGGGATGCTTACTCTGCAAAATTATTTCCAGGCAAAGAGATTTTTTCTTACTCCACGAACACAATTACATATTTATTTAAATCATTCATAAATCATATGATTAATATTAAGCTTTTCTTATTCATTCTCCTCCAGAATTAGTGAATAGTTTCGTAAAGAGCTTGCTTCATTATACTGCGGTGGCCATTTGTAATATACCGATTCCCAGAAAAAATATGACTTTATAACTCTTACTTATATAGTAAAATAAATGTTATATAGTAAAATTAATATTTATTGTTTAGTAACTGACTCACATATTGCTTACGTCTGATTTTGTTTCTCATACATGAAATTTAGATTGAAGTTGAAGAAAAAACGTCAATAAAGCAAATGAAAACTACGCTGTAATGATAACGAAACTATTGGTTATATTTACCTATTTATATAAGTAACACTAATCAAACAACGACATACATTTTGTACTGATGGCCGCGTAGTAGCCTTTCGATTATATAAGATAAGAAAAACGAAGTTAGTGACGTTCTTAGTAACGTATGCAACGACATCAGCGGGAAAAGTATTATCGTTTTAAAGTAATTGTTCAAACCACACTCCCGAGTGTATCCTCAACTTGAACCAATAGGTTTGTATAATTTACATATTGTTGAACGGTTGTGAATTTTAACTTACTAACTTGCAATAAATGAATTAATAATTAAAAAAAAATTAAAAACAATAACAAAATTTTCACTAGAAATTTAACAACTAACCAAAATATATTAGAGATTATAAAAAAAAAGTGTTTATGAATTGCATTATTTTTATAATATTTTGCAGATCATTTTCAGCATTCTATTCATAGTTTCCTATTGGATGAAAACAGTCACGTGACTGGCTAAAACAGTTTCCTATTGGATGAATATAGTCACGTGATTGGTTAAAACAGTTTCTTATTGGATGAATACAGTCACGTGATTGGTTAAAACATTTTCCTATTGGATGAATACAGTCACGCGACTGGCTAAAACAATTTCCTATTGAATGAATATAGTCACGTGATTGGTTAAAACAGTTTCTTATTGGATGAATACTGTCATGTGATTGGTTAAAACTATGGGTAGAAACGACGAAAACCTTATCATATATGCAGAGTATCTGTGTTTAGTAGTGTGTATATTTAGATTAACTGGTAGCAATACACTCCACAGTGCCCCAGAACATCCGCCCAATCTGCTGTAAATATTGGGATTAAGAGCATGGAAACTCGTGCATCAGTCAACATTTAAAATAGAACGGTTATTGAATAATAGCTGCTTCTAGCCAGTCTTAGTAGCATAGATTTATAAATAAATTAGTAGTCGGCATAGTCTAAAAAACTTTTTCCTATGAAAGCATCACGTGAAGGCCAGTGTAAAGACTCTCATCATTTGGAGTAATATTAAAAATGATACTTATCTGATTTTGTTTCTCTGTATCTACAATAATATGCTGTCGATTTTATTAAGGGGGAATTTCGGGGGGGGGAAGGGGACAACCTTTAACT